TCAATCGAGGTTGACAGTGTGACGGAACTTAGAAATAAACTCATAAGTAAATTTTGGAGCTTTTTCAATAATTACTTCATTGGTCTACGAGCAAACAATTTTCTTCTATTGTCTTGGGTACAAGTCTTTTACCGTTCAATTTTCACTCGAGATTAATGTTGCCGCTTCTGGACCAAACAAAAAAAAATGTAATTTTTTTGACGATAATGCATCGAAATTTTTAACGCGTGAGAGTAATATAGCCAAATTGTGAATAAGCTTAGGGGTAAAAAAATTGGTTTGTCCCTAAACTTGTTGGTTAGCAAATGTTTTCAAAACTCTAACTCATTTAGTCCCTGTTTGGTACAAATTATAATCTAAATTTTTATTAAAGTCAAAGTTAACAATTAATTTTAATTACATATTTCATAAATTTCACAATTTTTCAATTACACATTTCATCATCATTAAAATCTGATTTTAACCTCCATCAAACAGGAGCTTATTCACTAAACTTTACAATGTTTATTCCATTAATCACTAATATTGATTCCTTGATTTCTGTTGATATTTGGCAAATAATGATATTATCGTGAATTGATTTGGGGAGAATAACGACTTGCAAAAATGAATGATATAAAATGTTAATGGTCGAAGTAAGAGTTCGACTCTTTCTCCTTGAAACGACAGTGCCCCGCACTGGTGTATTCCGGCACTCGTCTCACAAGATACAACGATCTCGACTTGTAACAGTACCACTCCAAATTACAAGACCTGATGAACCTACTCACGTTTTGATCTCTCTAAAAAATTGGAGGACTAAAATGCACTAAAATAATTTTCGAGGTCGAATTGCAAAATATGGAATAATGCAGGGATGAAAGAATAAATTTGGAAGAAGAATAAAATCAGAATTGATTTTGGAATGAATGAAAATCGAGATATAGGGACCTTTATATAGAAATTGAAAATTGTGTCCAAAAGTTGTGCCCGTGTTGACCAGTCGAATGGACGGCGACGGCGGCGCGCACGTGTGGATTTTGACTCAACCTATTAGTATGAAGTTCTCTCCCCTTCAAAGATTATTGATATCCCTTGCAGCTCAAACTCAAGTCCCAAACTTGAGCAATATAAAGTGGTTTCTACTCTTCTAGTTTTTCCTATATAGGATAGACATTTTCCAATTTTCCACCCATTTTATTCTCAATTTATTTCAACTTCAAGTGGTCTTCTTTTGGCTTTAATTTTTCATTCAGCCTAAATTGATTTTGAGAAAATAAATACATTACATTAATCTATTTATAGAGTTAGGTTTGTCAAGATGGACGGGCCGCTCAGGCTTACCCTGAGGTGAACCGGCCTGCGATTCGGCCCACGAGCCGTGTGGGCCGAATCGCGGACTGTCCGCACCTTGAACCGGTTGGGCCGGTTCAAGGTGACCGCTGGCTCGGTTTGAAAAATAAAAATAAAAATTGCGCCGCAGCATTCAGAACGGTCACAAGACAGTTTTAAATTTTTTTTTAACAGTAATTTTTTTTGGTATAAATTGTGGTAT